TTTTAAAAAAGTTTCTAATTATGAGACTTTTGAAGACCGCGATATGTCCATTCACATAGCACCGTACCTGGCCGTTTACCACTGCTCCTCATGAAATGCACAACATGTTCCGCATCCATTGCAAAATTTTATGGACTCTGTATGATATCTCTTTAATGGCATAGAAAAATATGTGATTTTCTTTACGCGGAACGCATGCACCTTGTAGAATGAAATCACTAAGCACTAATGCAACGAATGATCAGGCTCCAAATTATTCGGCAATTAGAAAACTTTTTTAAAATCTAATCATACTCCTTCCTTGAGTATAAAATATAAAGAAGACATGCTTCTCTAATGATTGATAAAAACAAAGCATTTTTTTGTTTTCGGTTTCTATAAAATATATTTGAATTTCGAAGACCATCGAAAATCAATGGGAAAAATGCATGCTACTTAAGTAGTCATTTTTTTCCGAGCACGCTTTCTACAGGAGACTGAAAAGAAGTTCAGTTAAAAGCCGACATTCTGCCGAGTCCAAAATGTTATAAGAGTATGCCTTAAGATAATAAGTATCACAACCGCGACCAAGTAATCCTTCCTAATCGAAAATGCATTTCAGAATTTCTGCCGTCATTTCATGAGATAGGTCACTCACTGTATGTACGCCAACTGACAAAGCCACTAAACTGGAGCCCTAAAGCGAATCGAACGGAAATTGGTACAGCGAGGCGTCACTGCATAATCCACAGCAAGTGTTCGGCAAATGAATTTACATGATAGTTTGACCGTTGTTTCCGACGATGTTCACCGTATGCAGGGTGAGAGCAGCGTCGGTGACGGACGCGTGAATTGGTTTATGGTGGCGGTAGACTTGTGCAGCGCCTACCTGGAGCGCAGACGGGCACAGGCGACTGACATGGTGCAAACCCAGTCTCCCGAGCGCACCACTCTACACCCACTGGTCCGCAACAAACACTTAACCAGGATTTTGGCCATCAAAAAATGAGACCACGACAGGGACCCCAATTAGACCTGCCACCACACCCCGAATGTGGATTCCCGATAAGGCTTACCGACTCCGATCTGGCCCCTGTTTGATCCACCGCATCTACCATGCGAACTGTTTTAGAGTCAGAGTTACACAACGACCACCCATTTCGCGCTGAGCACTACTCGCCTCTAATGCCTCCCCCCCCCCCAATATTCATCTGGCAAACCGACGCCTCGAGCAACTTATCAAACGCCTATTCTGGTGAGTTTACACCGAAGTTGCCAGTCTCCCTCGTATCTTGCATAAGCAGACTTAGCCACGGGAAGCCGTTCGCCGAATGCATAAAACCGTGCACACAGTGTTAACCCTCCAAAAATCAGGACCTGACAATTATGTCGAACAGGGGTCGTCCCCTTTCTTAATGCGTGTGGAAGCTCAAACCGATCATGTCGGTGCCCAGTCAGGCTTCATCAAATTTTGCCCGAACGCTATGCAGATAACTGTGCTCCGGTTTCCGCTATCACACCTTTCAGTATCAAGATAAACAGGAAGAAACCCGTTGCTGTTAGTAACATCGAATATCAGGTTTACCACTAGGGTGTGACGGTCAGCCGGCTAAAAAGGCGAAAGCAGGCGGTCATCCAGTGATGAGTACTCATCATCCCGAGCTTCTCGTCGGACGACACGCTGCACGTGCACCTCAGCACTCAAGGTCAGTAATCTCATCTCTCCGTGTCTGCCCTCTTACAGCTCCCCAACCGGCCAATCAGCTTCAAGGACAGATCAGGCGCTCTCTTATTTAAGCTGATGTGGCGCATATGCCGCTCTCGCGGCGCACCCTCGTCCGGCTGCCAACTCCCGCCAAGTCCTACTCCAGTTAGTCTATACAGACTACGCTACTTCCACAACTGGAGTCCAACTCTCTCTCTCTCTCTCTCTCTCCACTCGGGACAGAGCCCGCAGGTCGTAGAGGCTAGGGTCTCACCGTGGCTTTAGTTACTGTGACAAGGTCGCCCTGAACGGCGCGCACTTCAGCTCTCAGCTCGCGCAGATTCACGATCTGTTTTCACCGGTTCAGCCTAGACAGCGAAAACGTGACCTGCGCGATGTCGATGCGGGCTACGTCAGCATAAGAGTTCACGTCCTCACACGCCTAAACTACGCGCACAGTTCACACTCAAGTGGCCTGTTTTGCATTTTGGCAGGCACGTGAGACTAGAAAACGCAATCTTTATTTCAACTTCTGCCCGCAGTGGCGATTGCCACAGGCCTAGCCAGCTCTGCCCTATACTCGAGTCAGTTAATCGGCTGTCGTCGTGGCAACCGACACAAACCAATCGAGCAGTAATCATGTCTACGCCTGAGAAACACAAGCTGGCAGTTTGCCAAGTGCAGTCGTAACTGCTGCCCGTTTCGCCGAGGTACGGTGGTGGGAACTAGCGAGCAAAGACAAGGAAAGCCAGTCCTCTGAGTGACCATTTCATACGAAACGACCATCTCCTACTCATCGCCAGAGTCCTCACCATCACATGGTCCTGACCCCCGCAAAGACAAACAACTGACGACGACGACACCAGTGAATTTTACGCACTAGATTACACCATGAGCGCATCCGGTGCTATCGAACGCAGTATCGGCCTCGCACGCACAGTGCGCATCCAGCCGATCATGTGCTGTCTGTCACATCCCAAACGCCCCTGCAGTCAAACAGTTCAGACGGGACAGAAACCGGAGACGATGCTGTTCGAATATGAATCGTTCGGCAGGCGGGCCCTTCATCTCTCGTGGCTGCTCACAGCCTGGAGGGAAATGACGTTCTCATTGTTGAGTGCACACAAGAGCACGCGAGGCAATTGAGGTGTGGGAGGCGGATGAGGGACCCATAACCGGACACGTCGTGTTCCAGCCAGCTCTCTGACTGGCTACTGCCGCCGAGGTCGCCTGCAGACGGTTGGCTATTCCCCAACTTTACTATCAGCATTGTTCTTCAACAGTGAGCTCGAGAACCAGTCGAGGAGTTCAGTGAGGTGTTCGACCTGGTCTCCTCATGTTCGGTAGTGAAGTTCTGGATCTCGGATGGTCCCTTGGTCTTGCAGAAGTTGAAACCCCCGACCTCCCCCCTCCCCCCCATTGTCGCGTCTTAAAGCGACAATGTACGAATGCGGCAGCGCTTTGGTAACAAAGATGGCGAAAGAGCAACGAGTGAGACGTGCCAGGTAGTTTCTAATAAAGTGCTCTGTTGCTGAAAAAACATTCCTTCTCTCGCGAAACTGGAAAATTGTTTGAGGCAGCAGTGTTAAGACATGTGCCGTGCTTTCTTCTCAAAAGCCCGGCGGTGCTGAATAGACCGAAATATACAGGTGCGCTAGACGGAAGCCATGTGAGTAGTCTCGTCGTCAAAATGGATTCAGGCTGCAAAACCCCTGCCAGGACTAAGCTACACATCAGGGCAAAATAATAGTGTAGAAATAAACGTCGTTCGAGTCGGACAGTGCGTCAAGAGGTCAAATCCTACTCTCTATACGTGCTTTGTGCAAAAGTTACCTCAGAAGCGGATAGACATTTGAGCACGAGATAATGACGAAACCCCCTTGCCCGTGGGCACATCATGTGAGAGGCAGAATATTCTTACCGACAAAGAAAGGGAGACTTGTCTTTGTCCGTAATGACATTCTGCCTATATCATGCGCCGCTGGTTGGGTTCGAGAGAGCCCGTAAGGTACAACGGGACGAGTGAGTTCCGTAAAAACGATCGATGAGCGCTCCCCTACCATGCCCAGTTACTTTTCCCGGCGGATAGACATTTAAACACGATATACTGACGAATCCCTCTCGCCCGTGGGCATATCTCTTTACTTTTCCCGGCGGAATGCACATAAGGCCGCCGACCATGCAGACTAGCCGAGATCGCACCTACGGATAGGTACAACAAAGGCTGACCTGACTAGCCTGACAACAAAGAGAAATATTGTCTCTATGAGATCAGGATGCCCACGTCGGTGAACTGGATCAGGCAGGAAGACTTGCACGACATCGGTGTCACTCTTCGTCCGAAACCAGCATGACCCGGCGGCAAGATGCCTGGTATGGAAAAGACCAGGCATGCCTGGTCGCCCCCTCCCCTAGCCAAACCAGGTCTCACACTCAGTGCGGCGTCATTAGAAATGCGCCGACTTCCCTCGTCCGGTTCCGTTCGACAGTCGAAGCGGCAACTTAGGTATTGAGCCAGGCGTGGAAACGAGCACCTGGCGTCTTGTGCGACTGTTAATACATGAGAAATTAAACCTGCCTGGGCAGCAGCCCATACACCGGTAGCGAGGCCTACCCGACAGCTAAGGCACACCTTTCCTGTGCCTATAATGATGGAGTTGATCGTGTGGTCTGTCGTACGACTATCAGGTATCACATGGAATCATGTCCTGTAATCGAAGTCGCGACCAATACTACCCCCATAGCACTCGTAATACGTATTCAGCGTCGGATTCGTCATCGATACGCAGTCGCAAACTTAGAACTGGCTTCCCTCCCAGGACAGTTTAAGACGTGTGTGGGTCAAACTGTCAGATAACGGCTAGGACATAGATACGGAACGCGCTCGAAAGTGTTTCCTGACTTTTTGGAATGCCTCAGACATCTCGGAATAGGGTGAAGCGAGATCACCACATCGGCTGCCGCGGATTGTCAAGCGCGGCAGCACTATACACCACATCCGCAAGGCGGATCAGTCGTATCGGGCAAAAGGAGGCAAGTCCATCAGAATTAGATGTGAATTTAAAGGTAAAATTACAAAAAAAGCAGAGAGCAAATGCGAATAGACCGCGCAGACAGCAGCAGCAGCACAAGCGAGCGGAACTCGGAGCCACGAGAAATCGGCAAAGCACAGGCTTCTGAGGATCAGCTTTGGCCTGGCAGGCGTCACGAGGTGGACCAGAGTACGCTCACTTGCAAGCCGTTTAGGAACGTATACGAAATATGAGAAGGCTACTTAGGTGGGGCGGGGCGGGATAAGGCGGCTTTTGGACTCCGGTTACAAGTTCGGGGGACGGGTGGACGACTGACTGAAAGACATTCCGGGAGCTCGGGCCTCAAACTGGACTTGCGACCCAATTATCTGTAGGAGTTCATCTGGCCGAGGAATGCGATTAGACTGCAACTTGGACCAGATGGGAATGCCTGGGGGAGAGGGAGGCAGGGAGGCAGAAAGAAACCACGAATGGATGAGAATATGCGCATCCCAGGTTCTTGCTTAAAAGAAGACGAAGGCACGATCACTGGGAGGGCAGATTTATTGGCCTTAGCTTTCGAACTCGAACTGGAGTTCATCAGAGACTGCTAGAGTGCAGCAACGTGCGGACATTTACATCGTCGTTCCATGTGAGTGGCTACGTCTGTGGCTAGGTCTGGTTTGTGTCGCCTGGTCCACGACAGTCCCCCGGCGTGGTGACGCCGTTTGTACTTCGCGACGATGTGAGCTGCGCCACCTGGCTGCGTGGGCGGAGTGCGTGATACCACGCAGGCAAATCAGTGTATCTATTGATAGGGTTCGTGTCCGACACCAACCAAACTAGAAAAAAGTCCGCAGAGTTAGACCGGCAATTCTATACTGAATTACGGTGCGTACCGGTCACTTAAGCATTCTGACGCCTTATGATGAGCTATCAGGCGTTCACAATGGCAAATGCTAAGGGTGGCGGAAATGACATCGAAGTTGGACGCGACAAAACGGTAGGAATCGTCAACCCTAGTATTCGCAAGACATTCTATTCCTGATGAAAACAAACGAAAAGTCCAACGAAGAATTTGAACGCCTACCGACTCAGATGATATATGCCCTTTGTCTTGCGGGACTCGACAAGACATGGACTTAGCCCTATGTGTCGCCAGTTAGAATGTGGATATTCATTATACGACAGTTCGACCGTCGTTATCGACGAGGACGACTGTGTGTCCTACAGCCGGGTGGCCACAGATACGGTGACTTGGACGTAAATTAGTTTACAGTGATGGTAAACTTGCGATGTACCTACCGCACTCTCCCCGATCATCCTCCCATCAAGAAGACCGAAGGCGGGATAGGACGGATAGGCCGAGAAAGCTAAACAGCCAGTCTACCCGCGTCACACAGGACTGGTCCACGCACGATGGACCAGGTTTCCACAGCGGCTTGAATCCCAAATGAGTGGGAGTGCCATGAAGGCCACATTAAGGGGACATTGCAGCCTGATTCTCCGTACTAAGGGGAAGGCCGAGTTATCTCGTCAGTTGGCAGCCCCCACGCCATGGGCGTTAACACACCGCGATAGTTTAAGGGCGCGTCTGATTGTCGTGGGAACGGAACCACTCAGAGTCGACTTCACTCATTCTCTTCCCCCTCTCAGGCCCCAGCCTACTGTCCGAGCCGGTCCGCCGTCTGGTGTGGAGATAGTGTGCAGGTAGTTGGCGCGGCAAGATCCTGTGCCTAGGTGTGCCACCACAGCATTTTAATGGCATTTATTATGGGCCCGCAGGCCAATAACGCGTGTTGGTTCTGTGCAACTTCCGCATGGCTTGTCGTAGGGGACACAGATAGTTATTACACATGAATACAGACAAGCTTTAGGACATCATCTTGACTAACCAACCAAAACCTGTGCTCTTCTTGCAACGCAAGGCAACCTCCGGAGTTTACGGAGCTTCCAGACTATAAGCACCACTATTTAGAATCCTTGGCGATATGCTTGGGTGAAGAGCAGGGAAATGTTCAATCGACTGGGACTAACTTCTCTACCGGACGGTAAGCTCTCGCCGGAGCAGAGTTCGCAAACAGTGCCACATCATTCTAAGAGACGAGATGGACACAAGATCATCAGCAAACGGAGTGGTCATCCAGGACGTGAGGCGACCACGGCAGATTTCATAGATGAATAACCTGATTTAGTGGTCGCAAATATAGGCGTGTTTAAAACGCGGTGCCAAGTCTACGCGTAACCGATACGACGTCAGTAAATGCATGTTAAAAGCATACGGCAGGCCCTACACAGCACATCTGTAAGCGGTTGTGGCATGCATTTTGCTTCATTTTAAAGCAAAAATATTCCGCGAATGGTCCGAATTAGAGGGCATACACATTCTCAACTGGCAGGTGAACACGCCAAACATGTTGTCTGACAGTTTCCGATAAAGTAGATCGGCTCGAGGATGATGTAAGCGTGTTATACAAAAAAGAGCCAAACATAAAGTCAAAACCAGAATGAAAATACGCAAATAGTTGAACGTTGGAGGCATTTCTGAGCGCAGAAACTCCATGAGGACCTAAAAAGCAAGCTAAGAAAAGGACCTCAGGAAGTCGGCCTGAAGCCGGCGCAAGTACATTCAGGCTGTATCGGGTGCAAATAACAACTTCAGTAGATTTTCCGAGCCTGCACCTGTTTACTCACGTTTACAATCGGCACGAGTGACGATTTTGAGTCAAATCCATTCGCTTGAGCCGTTACGTGCGATGATGCTGCATACTACAAGTGTGGCAAGACTACCCATTGATTCGAAAGATTTTAAGCACGACAAAACCTATGACCAATAACGAGAGAGGCGTTATCACTCTATTGCAACTATCCAACCGCTAGCTACGCCTTCGGCACGACGGAAGACAAACCGGTCAAACAGAATTCAAGAGCAAAACGAAGCAGCTACGCAAATCGATACTTTGGTTATAACTTTGTTTCCCTGAAGAAGTGTATAACGAACAAGAAATATGCAAACTTTGAGGGACTCGGAGCTTAAAAGTTGAAAGTTGAAAAAAGTATTATAGAGGGCCTGGTATGAGGCACGATAAACTGAGCCGCCAATGAACACACAACTCCAACCCGAAAAGGTGCACAGTTAAGAGGATTGCGTTAGAGATAATATCGAACCAATAGGCGGTAGTGTCTTCTGTTTTTCACCCAGAAGCAATGCCTCTTAACTGTGCGAACTGTGTATAACCAGGTCATCTGGATACTTTGCTAGCGGTGGGTTTTGGCTGACAAACCTAGATATGAAGGCATGACTTACGACATGTGTAACTCCATAAAAACCGGCTACCTGACTTGGTTAAATGCAAATCGGAGGACTTGTAGAGGCAAAGTTTCTTGGATGTTCACAGTCGAAAACTGCTGCACTTTTGTTTTCAGGAGAATTTGGGAAAGAAATAAAAGATGCTCAACTAAGAAAACTCAAGATAGCCGGTCTGAGAGTAGTACTTCACTCTATCTATGGAGATAATGAACCCTTAGAATGCCAAACCTGAGGAATAACTGCCAATGGAGGAAACCGCAGAACACGACGGGAGCCAAAGCAGTCAATAACTACAGACTTATGCGCACCAACAAAAAGACCTACTTGTTGTTTAATCACTACTCGTGAAGGCACAATGAGGCTTACCGTTAAAGGATATTTCAAAAGCTCCGGTAGAGAGAAGTTGGCTTTCAATCATTCCTCCGATGAAGAAAGTCATTAAACAGAAGGATACCTGGAAATTCAAAAAAAAGTACATACTAATGAAGTCGAAAGTGCATTGGAAGCGGGGTAGTGTAGGTTGAGAGACGTTTGCCGTCTGACGAGTGAAGATTTGTAGATCGCATCCGCGCCCAAACAAAAAAAGTCGAATATACGATCGGCTAGCTGCGGAAAACTAAACCTAAGACACGAGCTGAGCAAACTGCCAAATGAATGACTTCGATAAAAGACACGCGCGATGATCCAAGCGGGGAAGAAAACATACGTCATTATTCAATGTTTGTGTGGTTTTTTGGGCCGGGTCTACCACCAAATATATGGCTGGCCGACAAACGCAAGGAATGGGTAAGCGTCAAAAAGTAACAGAAACAATTGTCGAAGAAGACACGGGACTGCCGTGGGCCAAACTTTTTACTACTGATGGGACGACAGGGTCAGAAGTAAAGATACGGAGAACGCTCTAGCGAAGGTAAATAAACGTCGGCAACTTGCGCATTGATGTGTCCTGGTTACACGCGTCAAGCAAGAGTTAACAACGTTAGAAATGCACACCGTAATAATCTGCATTAGTGACGAGGAACCAAAAAGCGACTTATGCTTTCTGTTGAAAGAAACAAGCAGAACCAAACCTCGGTTCTATGGACCACGGAACCAACTATACTAGTCTTATTAAAAACAAACAGACACCAACATAGTTCGGTAGGTCAATTATGTCAACTTCCGACGCCTAGGAACGCCAACGTTTCGCGGTTATTTCTATCGGATGACTCCGACGTGGAGCGAGAGCAAACAAGAGCGTAGAGTGAACCATAGGTAATGCTGGTCAGCGACAGTCTCCGCCACGTACAAAGTTCGCCAAGTAACTTATAGAGTTCAATAAAGCTAACGGTAACAGAAGACGGCCAGCTAATAAACAACCTCATGACTGCAGTCGATTCTGAGGCCTTAATAAGTATACAAAGAACCTTGACATAAGAGAACAAACTAGACGGAGAAAGAGCGCCTTCATTGCTGCGAAGATACGCCCAAGTAATATCATCGAGGAGTTCAGTAGGACCTTGTACACAACAAGGAAAGTCTCCGACACTGTCCAGGCTACAGTTCTGTCCTGGTCCAGCCACTAACGTTGGCCACTAAGTGGATGACGAAGAGGTGTTTCGTGTTGTGTACTGGGTTTGACAGAACAAATCGGGGCCGCTGTGAGCACAATGACGCGGCGAGATAGACAATAGTTATTAAGACAGCTATAAAAGAAACGGTATATTGAAAACTGACCTTGTTCTCTACAGCGTAGGTGAAAAAGCCCGGAGTTTCAATGCCAAGGGAAGGGAAGGGGTTTACGCCGGTGATCGTCATTGCCAGCAACAAAAATTTACATATTTGAACAAATGATGCAACAATGGATCGCCAGCGAGGCGGCGGATATGTTGAGCCTTCGATGTTTATGGATGGATAATGCTGGTGTACTATCCTAGCCATATCCTCGTAGGCTCTCTGGTACCCTCAGGAAATGCTAAATTCATGCACAAATTACAACAAAATTCATACCAATAGGCAAAATGTAGCGTGGGAAGGACATTCTGTGTGTTTTTAAGCTTGGGAAGCTCTTTTATGTCCTCAGCATCCGGTTCTGAGACGGACATATCACGCAAAGTAAGCAAGCCACAAACGACGGCAGCAACGATAAAACACGTTGCAAAACGCTCCATCAAATCTGTGATAGAATAAACACAGGGCAATCAAGTTGATGACTTTGAAGTGCAGTCAAAGTTCCACCTAAAGCCTCAGGTTTATTCCGGAATCCAAGTATTTCTGGATAACTCCAGGCATTTTTGGCAGGAATTTCAGAAACATGAAACCTCTTTTTGGGCCCTAGAAATGTAAACGTCGCCAAAACGGACAAGGTTAGGATCGAGTTCAGTTGTAGAAACATTTCATTCAAGTGTATGTACAAGTGCAGAAATAAAATATCTCACTACTGGTTCCCTGTGAACACTTCAGTTCCCCTTTTGTCTACCAAAGATACATTTTTGACTTTCCATGAACTTCGGCCACGTAGCCTCCCTCCAAACGTTGGGGTCAGCGACCGGGCTTCCAAAATTTTATCTCCACCGGCTGGTAACATCTAGTTTGAACTAGCTTATTGGTGCGGAAACTTTCAGTATTTTCGTGTAGGCATCCTTAAAATAAGAGATGGACGATCCCTCAGACGTGCCATAGCCCCGTTCGTTCCCGTTTTCTTCCGCCCCTTGAATGGTAGCACACTTCGGCTGAACACACTTATGTCAACTGATAAAAGAATAGGCACGAGTATTTGTACACTTATTTGTCCCAATTGAAATTAGAGCTGTTGCTAGGGAATATTAGTGTTCTGCAAAAAGTAATTCATTCGTTAGATATGTGGTAGCCCTTTGTCATACTTCTGTTTATACATTAACTTTTATTGTTATTCTACTTTCTAAACATTTCCTAGACTCGAATTAATCCACTTTTGTTAAAGCTGGTGTTTATGCAACGCACATACACCGACTGGTGCTAGAGTCGGTTTGACTAACTGACTTTTTACACAGTGCCTTTGTTCTTATCTGGGTGGCGTTGACAGTTGAGGCAGTTCTGAGCTGCCGTTTCGTTTGGCTTTTCTCATATAAGTCTTAGCATGGGACCAAGTTATCGATTGACTTGCCTGCTAAAGATATTTGGCAACATCAGTCTCCAGAAAAGAGTCATATCCCCCACACTTCAGGGTCGTTATGGTGTTTGATTTTGTCAGGATTATTTCTAAAACTTTCCACAGATGGCGATATCACAGCGCCTGCACCGAGGGCAATCAATGACTTCGCCGTGCCATTGAATACAAATAGCTTACGCATGCCTAGACATGAATGCTGGGTACTAAGTTCTAGAGCGTGAACCAGAGGTCTGCTCGTGCTAACAATTACGAGGGAGTCACTAATTTTTCGTCCGTGATCCAATGATAACACGGGGTGCGATCGCTGTAAATATATGATGACAGTTCGACCATCGATTTCGATGATGTCCACCGTGTGCCCCACATTTGCAGCAGCAATGAGAGCAGGGACGGTGACTTACGCAGGGGTTTATAGTGTCGGTAGACTTGCGTAGCATCTACCTACACTCTCTCCACCTCCCCACCTGTGCCCGGTGTCAAGACAGTGTCAAGAAGACCGGAGACGAGAGAGGTCGCAGGTGAATGGCTCGGACGGATCCTCACCTTGGCATTCCACCACACCCCCTGGTCCACACAACAAATGACCAGGATTTCAACCAACACAAGAGAGATTTGGAGGCTGGCACGGCCGAAGCCGCACCTGGGCGTGCCGCCAACGTCTGGCTCGGATCCCACACTGTGATGGGAGTGCCATAAAGGCCACATTAAAAAGGAGCCATTGCAGCCTGACTCTCATACCGCCTCCCGTTAAGGAGGAGGTCCAAGGTACCCCGTCAGTTGGCAACCTTCCAAGCCACGGCTTTTAGCGCACCGTGATAGCTTCAAGCACGTCATATTGTTTATCGTGAGGAAGGTGCGCTGAATCGTCGACTTCACTCTCCCTTCCCACTCCCACACCCCAGCCGCTGTCCGAGCCGGTCAGCAGACTGGAGTGGGAAATGGGCGCGGTTGCTGTCATGGTCGACTGACGGTGACTGCGCGCGCCACGGCACGACCTGGCCCCCCATACACACAAAACCAGGATTTCACACAACGGGGGTTGAACGGCGTGTCTCTCACTTGCGTGAGAGTGCCGTGGAAGGTGCTGTTTCAGCCCGTCCCCAGCCCACCAGTCCGCCACTCCACACAACACACACACACACACA